AAAGCGGTAATGAATCGAGTGTCTGATGAGAAACAACTAGGTGGTGCGGTGGTAGTCTATACTGAGCGCATCATACTAACTCGTCGTCCACTGCATCTTTCTCGTCGGCAATTCTACGAGCCATAATAATGGGTGGGTACATCAACTAAACAGTTAGACCTTTTGACTGTCTATAGGGACACACATCCAAACGGACTGGCCAATCAAGGAGCATTTTGAAAATCAAGTATGTGCGGAGTAGATGGATCCATAGAAGTTGACATCGCTATGCAGTTGGCGACTGAGAGCTCTTCCAACAGTGAGAAGTCACCTATGGGTGCTTGTGTGGGTGTCACTTATGTCATCATTGGGTGCTTGTGTGGGGGGAGGCAGACGTACGCATTGACTTGGGCAGGTCACGCCAGGCCCAGCACTCGTTACTACACCGGACACGAGCCAAGTCACCACATGAATAAATGGAGAACAGAACCCTACATCCAGGACACACCACTCCGCCTTATGACTTACCAGCATCATGCGATCTACCGGTGGAACCTTCACAGCATGGTTTACCAGTTAACTTTAGACTACAGGATTTACCAGTATGATTTTCACCTGACTCAACTATAAAGTCCTGGAAGTTCGCATCAGGTCGTTGCTATATGACAATGAATTACAAAACTGGAGAACATCGAGCACAGCAAGGATGCATCACTGTGCGTACCAACTGCATCAAGCACGGCACAGTAGCACAACGGCCTATAACGTTCATGTCTATATATACTCGGGCGCACTCAAGGCCTGTCAATACCCAACTCAACCAGTACACCCCGTAATAGATAGGAGAGCCTTTTGGAAGGGTATTGAGACGTGAGCCCTTTATATTACATGCATGCAGGCTGCAAAGGGATAATCCACCAATTTTACAATATGTTCGAAGGAACGAAAATACAGCTACACACCTCGTCTTGTATATCCTGGAGTATTTGGGGAAGCTGCCTGGTAGGTAAATGCACCATACTCGATCTGTACCACATACACGACGCGGCTATAAATAGCATCAGATGAGGCAAGATGAGGTGGGAGTGGAAGCAGTAGAAGCACCACAGCAGATTGATAAAGATGGAGAAGGGCACATCCGTCCATTCCATGACGTAGTCGCTCATCTGCCCTATCAGCTTAAACTGTGAGACAAGAAAGACATAAGGAGTATATGAGTAGAAGATACAGTTTAAAGACAGTCTATCATTTTAAACAGTGAGCAAATGAAGACATAAGAAGCATATAAGTATATGATACAGTTTAAAGACAGTCTATCAGCTTAAGCTTTGAGCAAATTAAGTCATATAGAGTATATAATTCACTGTTGCAGTTACAAGGTAGTTTATCAATTTGAACTGTGAGCAAATGAAGACATATAGAGTATACAATGCACTGCTGCAGTTACAAGGTAGTTTATCAATTTGAACTGTGAGCAAATGAAGACATATAGAGTATACAATGCACTGCTGCAGTTACAAGGTAGTTTATCAGTTTAAACTGTGAGCAAATTAAGACATATAGAGTATACAATGCACTGATGCAGTTACAAGGTAGTTTATCAGTTTAAACTGTGTGCAAATTAAGACATATAGAGTATACAATTC